TCTTAAATCCTACTACTTATTCCTGCGTCTTTTGGGATCTTACAAAGCTTCAAACGACGCGTCGACTATTAAATCAGTCGTCGACGTAATCGTGACTAGTCGACTAATCGTGGCAGCCCTAGTGTGTTGCAGTGTTTACTGTTAGCTCCATCTCTGATTTATTCTGCTCAGCTCAGTGGGCATTAAAGAAGATCAGCAGTGCATAGAAACCTCATGTCAACTCGAGTTTTGCAGGTGTAATTACAGAGCTATGCAGAAATGTAGCACATAATAAAGCCGGATGGATTGCAAATCATTTTCATTTGGATTTTATATTTACCAAAAAAGTTCTTCCCTTTAATCTGAAGTCCTTTAGTTTAATAATAACATCAGAAATATGAGATTCTTAATAACACAAATGGCAAGTTACATAAAGGAAAAGTTGCAAATGTAGTTGTGTTTTCGATAAGTGCTCTTACTTTGAAAGACAAGTGAAAAATACACATAGTGCCTTGCAAACAGCAGGTTACATATTTATTTTTGTTGTCTTCAACATATTGACACAGTTCCACAGACCAATCAACACGTAATTCTCACTCTACATCCTCTGTTTTTCTCAGAACCTTGCTAATTGGATGTCACCCTTGTTTTGTGGTGTGTGTGTGTTTGTGTGTGTGTGTGCGCGTGAGCGTGTGCTCCTATGCGTTTAAGCAGCTCTCCTGTGGCAGGGTCAGGGCTGTGCTTGTCAACAAACCTCAGCAATTAGCTTTGACTCGGGGCTGTTTCTTAGCTCGCAGACAACAATTCAAAACCTCCGACAGAAATAACACGTAACCTCGAGGGAGCATCTGTCAGTCACAACGCTGCCCTGTACTGCTGAAGCTACGGCATATTCACTTATTTAAAACCCATGTTTGGTCAGTTTCCAAGGAAAGTCTGGCAACAGATGATGTTCCCTTTGACCTTATTCAGCGTGTAAAGTAATAGCAGCCAAAAGCCAAATCCACCGAGACACTGAAAGTCAACTGTGATTATAAGTAATGTATTTTTAATTTTTTTTAAACATTTTTACTTTACTGTGCATTTTAGTGTTACATATGACACTCGAGCGGAACATTAAGCTTGAAGTCTGGTGCTGCATTCAAATGATGGACATGTTAGTAGGAAATATGACATTCCAAACCACCAATCTTCTGCTCATATTGTTACGACTTAAATAATTCCACCCTCCCAAAGTTTGGCATATGCCGCTTGCTGCAATCTGATACAAGCTTTTCATGGGAATGCAAATTAAGGCTTGAATGCATATTTTGGGGTTTAAAAAAAATACTCTTGGGGACTTTTCTTGAACAGCATTTATTCCTGACAGTTCCCTCTGAAAGCTTGAGGCGTGTTTGCTAGTTAAAAGTTTTTTTTAGCAGCTACACTCTTGCAACGTTTGTGTCTTATTGGTGTACCCCGCAGCAAGCGTTTGTTTTTGTACTGAAAAATGTTTATTACAATCTACTCATCTGCATACGGATGTGTTCACTGTAAGCAAATGGTCCCGTACATGCGCAATTTGTATGCCGTGTAGAAAACAATGCAATGCAAATACTTCCAGTGACTGTTTCTGGGTTTCAATAATTTAAATTATGCGAAAAACTTTCGAGGTCCCTGCAGGCTTTTTCAGGCGTCAAAGACTGGGAGCTTAATGCCATAGAATGATAATAATGCAGAAAAGCGTCAGGGATAATGGGCGAATGTGATTAACGATCTGTCCAAAATGGCTTTAGCGGCAGATATTTGTGTGTCTCAACAGGTTTTATGATTGCTGCTGTTTTTTGTCAGATATCCCAGTGCTGTACGGCTTTTATTTTTGCAATGCTAATTGCTGCAGATTATTTCTACTTCGAGCGATATCAGGTAAGTTCAGCCTGAACACATTTTTAGTGCCCGCTGCAGCTGAACCGATTACCATGTAATAACAGCCACACAGGCTGAAAAAGCACACGGGGTTGAGAGCTCTTCTTCTGTGGTGCCCTCGGGGAGTAGCCCGGGGAGGCAGGGAGTTTGCTGACTCAGCCCTTGTGGCCTGAACTGAGCTTTAATGAGGGAGCCGCAGACTACACTCACAGGTTTATATAGATTTGTACACATAAAACACACAATTACAAACACACAGCACACACTCCCTTTTCTCATGAGTCTCACTAAAGCGCACACACGCTCGCACCTGAGCACACACACCTGTTTTACTTGTCAGTCCACTATTTTCACCTCTTCTCCTTTCTTTTCTGTCTTTATTTGCACTTTCATTACTTCTGCAGCACACACACAGCCTCGCCCTTTGACCTTTGTAATCCTCATTAACGTGCGCTCACATTAGCCTCTGGCTGTAGCGAGCTGTAATTCGAAGTAAATGTGTTTGCGTTTATGTAAAGGGACTAATGGGGAAAAATGAGTGTTGAGGTCTGTAAATGTTTTTAAGTGTGCGTGTGTTTGTGTGTGTGCCCTGGAGAGTGTGTTTCTCTCACCAGGGGAGCCTGTCCAGCAAGCTATAAAACTCCACAGCTCTCAGGCTAAATGTGGCTGAAATGAAGGTTTAATGTGCTGGAAAAATGGTCGTTGGATTTGAATGGTGTGTGTGTTTTAATGGATTCTGTGGGTGTCTTTGTGTCTCTAGATGTAATTGTGTGTGTATCAATGCATTTCTTTTTATTTGTCCGTGTGTGTGTGTGTGTGTGTTTAAGAGTTGTGATTTAGAGAACTTGATGTATTTTAATTTGCACTGTATGCAGCCTGAATGGCCTTGAAGTGTTAATACTTTGTGCTTGCAGTTTCTTTTCATCTTTAGTGTGATGAAGATGATGTTTGGACTTTGATGTTACTTGTGAGAATCATTGAAGCAATAGACACACAACGACTCCGCCATGGAATTGGTTTAATTTATTTTAATTATACGTTACGTATAAATATACTACTTTAAAAAAAAAACCTCCAGTCATTTTGTACCGTACGTTCGTAAACGGCGAGGTGTGACCCTTTAGTTCCCCGTCTATGCCCATAAAAAAGTCAAAAACCGCATGGAATGGAAATTTGGCTGATCTTCTTTTCTCCAGTGGCAGCCCTCGACCTTGGTTTGAGTGGCGGCTGTTTTTTAAATCGCTGCTTGGATGTCCCGGTGTGACCACTAGCACTTGAACGTTTGCGATGGACTCTTGTCATCGCTGATCAAAATTGGGTCAGTTTGACACAGAATTTCTCTCTTGGTTGCCCGTAGTGAAATTAGACCGTGTTTCTGCACGGTGTCAGATCAGAACTTCCTGAGATTAGTATAAAAGTTGCAGCTGTGCTTTGGAAAGCAACTTTTAAATGACGAATAGTCCAAATTCAAATTAGTTATATTTTTTAGATTTCTTTTATAAAGTTACTCATCATCAAGGACAGATGTGGCAAAGCTCCATCAGAGCCAAAGCTTTCTCCTCCGACTGCAGTCGAAGCGAGGCTTGTTATGTAGACACCTTCGCTTGTAGTGATTGTTTTGCTTTCATGCTCCTGAGTGTTACCTTACTGATTAGCTCTAGCCCATGATATTAAAAGCAGTATTCATGATGGATATGCAACTAAAATTGTTGATTAAAGAACTGCTTGCTTCGAAGAAGTGAAATGCTTCTCCTTTTGAATTCCCTCCTCTTATAAATGTTAAACTGGCTTCATTTGAAACTCTTCCTCTAAGAGGAAAATCTATTTCTGACGCTAAATAAAATCGATAAACCTGGAAACTTGATCTGATCTTCAAAGAGCCCTTGCAAAAACATATGTTTATTTCACACACAGCATGGTATTTTTAAAATATATATATTTTCCTTGAGGTGAAATTAGTATGTTGTCTGTGACTAGCTGCTTTTGGTCAGTTTTTCTTTAAAGTTCAGGCGTTTCCTTTGGTTTGGATCATGTCAATAAACCCAGATAAAGGGAAGTGATGTCTTGAAGATGTTTGAGCCGTTGAGCACGTGTGCTAGTTTTGAATGTGGTTAATATTTTGTGCATTAGGGGGCAAACCTTATCACAGTCGTGCTTCTGCATCAGATCTCACCTCGAGGGACGCTCGGTTCACATCCCTGGAATTGGCACGTGTTGGATGGATTTTTCATTTTCTCCTCAGCTAACTGAAGCCAGCTGAACACATACGCCGGCCTAGTGGGAGTCGCAGAGAGATGGCATGAATGTAATCTTTAATCTAATAAAGGGACTCTGCAGAGGCTGGAATTAATCAGATCTGTGAGGTCTTTGAACATAAAGACGTGGAGTGAAAGACGAAGCTTTTTGAGTGGAGGGAGAATATGATTGGACATAATGAGCGTGTCTCTGTCATAGAATAAAATAGGGGGGGGGTCTAAATCACCTCAATTTTCCTTTGGACTTTATGTGCGGTCCCCGTGCATTTGAGCCAAGAAGGACCACCTTGTCTTCTATTTATCTGTGCATGTTTTCAGGGAAGCCACTTCTACATTTATAGAACACCAGCTATGATTTGGACTTCCTGATTACACCCAGTAGGACTGATTCTTGAGCCAGTGTGGTTCAGTTGGTGTTAATGCCTACCTTCAAAATTCACACAGTGTGCTGTGTTTTAATTATTCTTATTTGCCTCTTCCTGGATTAAATGGATTAAAATCAGATTTGCAGATAATGAAGTCTCTTCTTTCCCGTGTAGTTTTAAATATGGGGGGAAAATGCATGATTGCTGCTCAATTTCAAGTCTAAGGGAAACCGAGTAGGTATGCTACAAAAGAGTCGTTCATCATTATCATCATCTTCTTTTTTAGGTGTTTATCATTTTTTGTTTCCTGTCATTGCACCTTCTTTGTAATTGTTCTCTATATCCAGATTACAGCTAAGCATTGTCATCCCATAAAGTTAAAAAAATATGTTTTTCCTGTGCTATATTACTTCGATACTGCGGTGTAACATTAAACTACATATTTCTGAAATCTGACCTTTTGTGCTCTCTCCTCTGTTTTTTCTTTTTCCTGCAGTTAATAGCTATATATGATGAACAGGAACCCCATCATGGCGGTGATGGCACCAGTGCCAGCTCCACAGGCACCCAGAGCCCCGACCTGTTTGCTGCAGACCTCAGCGCAGGCAGCGGAGCCTCTGCTTTCCAACCTTACCAGGCCGCCAGCGAGATCGAGGTCACGCCTTCGGCCCTGCGCACCAGTAAGTCACGAGACTGGAGAACACGCGTTTCTGGATCAAATACCATTAAGGTTATTTGCACTGACATGCATTATTTTGACAGATGGATCATTACCCTAAAGATACAATCAGGAACTGCAACATTGGCTGATTAATATTTAATTCAGTTCGTCTTATATTCCTCACGTTATCATCTTCATTGGAGTCAAATGTCGTCAACCACAGCAGTATAGAGAAAACACAACAAATCACCTTATCACGTCCCAGCCGTACCATCGCCCTGTTCATAAATTTTGTTAATTGGACAGGAGGTGCCTTTTTTTTTTCTTTTCAGACACAGATAGCCGTTTGATCCCCGGCCAAAGTGGCTAATTGGTTCTATTCGCTGCCTCCTAAATCAAATGTGACGCTGAGGCCATTCACCTCTGCAGTTTCGCTGGCCAAGTCGCTTCTTCTACTGCAATTACTCTCAGTTTG